GAGGTGCCTTCCGGTGCCTCCACACATCTGCTGTGGTGAGGATGGGTCCATGGAGAGCCACATGGCCGGCCCTGAGCTGCCTTAGCCCTGCCAAGTCAAGTCCTAGTCTTTGTCTTGATACACAATACCGGGTGATTCACAGTTATAATGAAGTTTACATTGCATTTATGCTTTACCTCTGGCCTTGGGAAGGAGTCTCCCTCCAGCTTTGTCTGCTGTGCTGCACAAAGTAGTGGGAGCACAGGCCAAATAGCAGGCTTTCCTGGGTGTAGGGGCCTGGTAACATGGAGGGATTGGTTTCCCAAGGGCAGACCCAGCATCCTAGGCACAGTCAAGTTTTCTGTCCTGAGGGAATCTGCGTGTCACTGTTTCCTTTTGAGGGTAGCAGGGGTGGAAGGAGAACTGGGGACACCCTCCCTTTCTGGCCTCTGACCCTTGCTGCTCTCCTGCTTTCCTACTCTCATTTCTACCCCCCCCCCCAGCCTGATCCTAGATAGTTTGACCACGTCTGACCCTTGTGCCTGGTGAGGACAGGCCATTCCTTCTTCACACTGTGCCTCCTCCCAACCTCCCACCCACCCTCCCAACTATATAGGGGCCAGGGGCTGGGAAAACCAGAAAGGTAGGACTAGGGGGCACTGACTACCTTAGGATCTCTGGAGGCTGGTGCAGGATGTGGTCTGGCTTTGGTGACTGGAAACCTGTTGGAGGGTGTTGGGGAGAGGATACGATGAGCCTTATCTCTGATGCCCTGGCAGTGTAGGCCTCTGGCCAGAGGGTAGGCACAATTTGAGGCCTGAAGTTCTGAAAACTAAGGATATTCTCTTCCTGGGAAGTGAAAGAACAGAGATAGGCTCATGGCAGTTGCCAGTATCATGTCTGGACACTGTCAGGACACACAGAAGGGAGCACACAGAATATACAGGGAGATACAGCCTGCACTAATAATTAGTAAGACTCCTGAAACCAGCAGCTCTCTCAGGGCATGGGGTGGGCATGCTTTGAACCTAGTGGGGAGAGGTGAGCAGACAGGATAAAGAAAGATTCAGGTCTTCCTGTGCCCCTTTCCTTCCCGCCCATGATTTTTTTTAAGAAGATATATTTATTTATGCATACAGAACTGGGGTACAGGCCAGAGGTGCAGGGGCGGTGAGAGGATTCACCAGAGACAGAGTGGGGAGCATAATAGGCAGATTGATGTACATTGCTGAGGGGAGCAGGGGGCGAGACAGGAGAGGTCTGCTGTGCCATGTGGGTTACCTCCCTAGCCGGAATTGAACTTGTGCAGAAGCAGCTGTGGCTAGTTTCATAGTGCTGTGCTTTAACCTTACATTGTGCCCCCAGGAAGGCCCCTCTCCCATGATTCTTTAGAGGGCTATGCACCTTGGTCCCAGGTACCTCACCAGCTCAGACAAATTACATGCATTCCTGTTCCCAATAAGGAAAGGCTTCCCACTAATTATTAGTGCAGGTTGTGTGCTTCTGCATATTCTGTGTGCCCTCTTCTGTGTGTCCTGTGCCTCCCCTTACCGGGTCCTATGTCCCCTCCATTGAGTTCTCCTCCCTAGGTCCTGTGTCTCACCCACTTGGTACATCCCCCGTCATGTCCCATGTTCCTTTTACCACCATGTCTCATGTTGTCCCTTTCCCACTGAGCCCTGTGCCCCTCCCATGTGGACCCCCACATTTTGGGGACTCTGAGCTCCTTTCCTACTGGCTGGTTTGCCCCTATCCAGCCCCTGGGGCTGAGTGCATCATCACCTTCTGTCATGTCTGGAGGGTGAATTAACATGGGAACACCTCCTGAATTGTTCATTCATGAGTATTGGTATATCTATAGAAGATTTTCCAAACGAGACAGATGGGGGTGAGTGGGATTGAAGGGTGGTCTGAGGGGTAAGTAGGGGTAATGGGGGTGCTACAGGGTTGCTAAAGACATGGTGAGCTTTCAGGGGACTGGGCTGATTTCAGGAGACTGGAAATGCTTTCCAGAAGGACCACTGAGATTGGCAGCCTATGTAGTCAGAGATCTCCAGATGTCAGCAGCTGCGTTAATTGTGCCCTATATGTTATATCAGCATTGTTTAAGCACCATCTGTGTGCCCCTGCCTGATGTCAGTGATGATGGAGCTTTGACCCTACTTTGTCCTTCAGACAGCACTTTTATTCCAGCTGGGTTTTGGGAGCTATGGCAAGGGGCCGAGGAGTCTTCTATCTCCGCTTGCTTTCTTGGAAAGCCCAGTGCCCACATTCCTGGCTCTCATTTGTGGGCAGGCATTGGTCCCAGGAATGGTAAAGCAAGTTCCAGAGAGCTGGAGGCCCTGGGACAAGGGTAGAATGCTTTGGGGGGCAGTATAGCTGTAGGCTGGGAGAGTCCTGAGGGGTTTTGACCCCCGTGTTCTGGGCCCTGAGGCTGAGTGCATCACCACCTCTTGTCATGCTTGAAGACATGGGAACACCTCCTGAACTGTTCATTCATTGGGGTTGGTATATATATAGAAGATTTCCCAAATGAGACAGATGGGGGTAAGTGGGGGTAAGGGGACGGTCTGAGGGGCAAGTGGGGGCAATGTGGCCAACCATGGGTGCTATAGGGTTGCTAGGGTCATGGTGGGTTTTCAGGAGACTGGGCTAAATTTTTGTTTTTTCTGTTGTGGTAAAATTCATCTAATATGTAGTTCAACACTTTAAAACAATTCAGTGGCCTTCGTGGTAGTGCAGAGGGTTAAGGCTCAGCTCTGTGAGGCTCTCCTGGCCACTGCAGCATGAGTTTAATTCCTGGCCAAAGGTGACCTGGCGCGGCAGACCTCTCCTGACCTGCCCATTGCGCCCCATAACAGTGTATTTCAGTCAGTTGCCTCTTCTATTCCTTATTCTATCTCTGGTGAATCCTCTCACCCTCTATATGTCAGGCCTGTACTTCAGTTTGTGTATGTGTAAATAAATAAATCTTTTTTTAAAATAAACAATTCGGTGGCATTTAGCACTTTCACAAATTCATATGGTCTTACCTTTATCAAGTTTCAGAATATTCCATCACTCAAAAGGAGACCCTATCTCCATGGTTTGTCATTTCTCACCCCCCTCCCAGCCCCTGACAACCACTCATCTGCTTTTTGCCTGTGGATTTGCCTGTTCTGTACAGTTCATACAAGGATCACACACTGTGTGCCCTATTGTGTCTCTCACTCAACATCATGTTTTCAGTTCATTCATATTGGAGTGTGTATCAGAGCTTCCTTCACCCCTTTTCATGGCTGAGTAATATTCTTTCCCCCCACCCAAGATTTATTTATTTATGCATACAGAACTGGGGTACCTGTGTGGTGAGAGGATTCACCATAGTCAGAGTGAGGAACAGAACAGATTGATGAAATATACTGCTGAGGGGAGCAGCAGGCAAGACAGGAGAGGTCTTTTGCACCATGTGGGTCACCTCTGGGGCAGTGGCCATGGCCAGCTTCACAGTACTGAGCTTTAACCCACTGCGCCACCAGGGAGGGCCACGCTGAGTAATATTCTATGGTATGGATGTGCTTATCTTTTATCTGTATAATGTTTTATTTGTTTTTTTTTGTGTGTGTGTGTGTGTATAAGAGCTGGGGGGTAGGCCAGAGATGTGGGAGCCTAGGAGGATTCACCAGAGACAGAGGGGTGCAGAGCAGGTGAATTTATGGAAATACACTGCTGAGGGGAGTAGCTGTCAAGACAGGAGAAGTCTGCTGCGCTATATGTGGGTCAGCTCCCTGGCTGGGGATCAAACTTAGGTCATCATGATGATGGCGCTAAGACTTAACCCTTAGTCCACTAGGAAGACCCTATTGTTCATATATAAATGTATATTTTGATATCTTTTTAAAGTTTTATTTTTTATTCTAAAGTGACCTTTTCTTTCTGACTCTACATTTTGAGATATGGGAGTTTTTGCCTCATTTGCAGCTCCCAGGCTGTAAATCCATCTTCTTAAAAGAGATTTTTGGTTTTGTGGTTCATTACAGTTTCCCGAGAGCCATGAAAGGGCCCTTGGGAAGATGGTGAGATGAGAAGGTCTAGCATGCCATGTCCAAGCCCAGGTTCAAATCCTGCTGTGTCCTTACAACTCTCAGCCCAGGAACAAGCTGCTCAGCATGTCCCTGTGTCTGGGCTAGTGGGCCTTTCCCCTAGACTAGACCACCAGTGATAACATTTATAGCCAGATTCTCCGAAAACAGCCAGGGAACTCTGTGGTTGTATGACTGTCCTCCTCCCTGGGGTGCTGGGCACAGATGGGCAGGTGTTGGCGCTGTAAGGCCTTAAAGACTGCCTCTTCCCTTCCCAGAGAGGGAGGATGCCATGGCACTCTAGCCCCGGGGCAGTGTGGCTGGTAGCTTGCAGTCACTGAGCCCCTCTTCTGTACCACAGTGGGGTTCTTTGTTGGCTCCTAACCCCAACCCCTTTCTGTAAAGGAGAGAAGAGAGGTGAACTGTGGGGTGACTTATTACCGTACTTGGGGATATGACATGGAGAGTCCTGGGCCTCAAAGTGAGCACTCAGGAGGCACATGCCATTTTAGAGTGAAAAAATAATGGGAAAATGAAGTCTTTAAAGGGATGGAAGCACCCTAATATCCATAGATGGGTAAATAGATAAAGACATTTTAATTTGGCCACACAGTGGAATATTACTCATCCATAAAAAGGAATGTAGCACACTGATTCATGCTACACTGATTCAGGGTGAAAGAACACTGAAGGCACAATGCAGAGAGAAACCAGACACAAATGAAATGACCAGAACAGGCAAATCCAGACAGCAGATTGGTGGTTTGGGGTGGGTATTTTGGATATAGCCGTGAGTCTCCTTTTGGGGTGATGAAGGGTTCTGAAACAACACAGGTGATGTTTGTGCTACCTTGTGAATATACGAAATATCACTGAGTTGCCTGGAAGAGCCTGCCTGGGTCCTGGGCAGATACCAAGTGACCCCAAGGCTCAGCCACATCCCCACCTTTGTGTCCACAGCACAGCCGACAAGAATGGGGCCCTCAGATGTACCTTCTCAGCACCTGGCCACAGTACCAGCCTCCTGCAGGGCCTTGCTGCCCTCCGTGCGCAGGGCCAGCTTTTGGATGTTGTGCTCACCATCAATAGAGAGACCTTCCATGCACACAAGGTGGTCCTGGCTGCCTGCAGTGACTACTTTAGGTGAGTGAGCCCTGTGTGTCGGGCTGGAAAGCCCACTGTGGGGTTGGAGAGCCCATTCTCAGAGGGAATGAGTCAGTGCCTGCCTGCCTGCCAGCCAGGACATCCCTAAACACAGGTGCTAAGTATGCCCTCTTCAGGGTTAGAGACCCAAATGCCCATGCCTGGGTTTTTCTTAGTTTCCCAGGTTATAAGTTATTCAAAGTTTGTGTGAGCAAGTGGAATGTACTGTAGGACAGATGTGGCCCCTGAGGGGATGGCAGAGTGACCCCAGGTTTCTATCTTGTTTTCAGTGACACTGTGTGTGCCAGGCATTGTCCCAAGCCTCAAGAATTCAAGTCTTGCTCTTGTGGTGTCCCCACTTAGGTTGAGGATCAGGATGGACTCTAAAACAGTGACCCTGTGGGTCTGCACAGTCTCAGGCCCCATGTGACAGTGAGCCCTCCCGGTGCCTGGTCTATCTGCTAACAAGCAGCTTGCCTGTGCTGAGCTGGGCCGGGGACCAGGGGCCTAGCAAATGAGCTGGAGCCATTCTTCTCATCAGCCCAGGACTAGCTGGTGAGCTTCCTACTACCTGGCAGTGACCCCACCAGGAAGAGTTTGGGTACCTTGGGGTGGTTCTCTTTCTTCCGCCGCCTCCCTTAATCCCAGCCCAGATGTGTGTCAAGGCCAGAGTACTTTGCCTGGTGCACCTCCAGATGCCCCCCCCCAACCCCCCACCCCTCCCTGGCTAAGCGAGGCCATTCCGGGGAGCCAGAGCAGGCAATCCAACTGGGGCGCCGCTTCTATTTTTGTTCTGGATTTGGGGACGAGCAGTCGGCCCAGCCAGAAATGCCCTTTAAAGGCTCCTTTGTGTTGGCACTGCACTGCAGCCTCGAGGCCTTAAAAGGCAAAGCTCCTTCTGTGTGACTGTGCCTTCAGTGGCTGATGGGGCTCTTGGGGACCAAAGGGGCAGTGGCTGGGGGAGCATTGTTCTTGGAGGCACCATAGCAGGGCAGACTTAGCTGCCCCTGCTGCAGCTGAGTCTGACCCACACTGCGTGTGCAACTTTGAGACAGACATCTTGTGGGGATGGACCCTCCCCTGGGACAGCATCAGAGACAGGCACTAAGGTTACAATTATGATAAAACACAGCTCACTGTGAGAGCAGCCTTCTCATACCATCCCCTAGATACTCTCATAAACTCTGAGCAGCTATGCTGTGGTTACCTCCCCCTTTCCCTTTGGGGAGACTTCCTCACATTAGCATTGTTTTCCAGAGCAGGGTAGAGCGGAGTTGGTAGAACCAAGACCATTGTAAATGTCTCACAGGGGGCTGTGGCTTCGTCAGGCCATTCTTAGGGGGCATCCCTGACCTCCTGGACCTTTTTCTAGGGACAGAAATCATCCCACTGCAGCCCCTGAAGGGATGCTCCAATCTGGGCGCCCTCCCCCTTCCCATCCCTGTGTGGACAAGCGTCTACAGGGGAAGGTGTAGCCACCTGCCCAGGGGAGCAAGCCAGTGAAGGGGCTTCACTGTGGACTGCAATACATGGTGCTCTCAGGGTCCCAGCCATGTCTCTGAGCTTGCTGTGTCATGGTGTGACTGGAGACTAGCTGTTGTCAATGCCCCACCATGAGCTGCCTCGCTTCTGCCATCTAGCCAGCCATCTTGAGTTGCACACCCTTTAGGTGACGCTGTGGTGGAAGGTGCTATCTGCAGGAAGATGCATGACTTATCTGTTCTTTTTTGATTGTCTTAAACGAGCATCTGGCCCTTACTTACCCCACCTCACACTGTGTTCCCCATGTTTAGGGCCATGTTTACTGGCGGCATGAGGGAGGCAAACCAGAGTATCATTGAGCTGAAGGGTGTTTCTGCACGTGGCCTGCGGCACATCATTGACTTTGCCTACAGTGCAGAGGTGACACTGGACCTGGACTGTGTTCAGGATGTGCTGGGTGCTGCTGTGTTCCTTCAGACCCTGCCTGTGGTGGAGCTGTGCGAGGAGTTCCTCAAGGCTGCTATGAGCGTGGAGACTTGCCTCCACATTGGCCACATGGCCACCACTTTCAGCCTGACCTCGCTCAAGGAGTCTGTGGACGCTTTCACCTTCCGCCACTTTCTGCAGATTGCTGCCGAGGAGGACTTTCTACACCTGCCGCTGGAGCGCCTGGTCTTCTACCTGCAGAGCAACCGGCTTCAGAGCTGCGCTGAGATTGACCTGTTCCGTGCGGCTGTGCGCTGGCTGCAGCATGACCCGGCCCGGCGGCCACGCGCCAGCCATGTGCTCTGTCATATTCGCTTCCCACTAATGCAGTCGTCAGAGCTAGTGGACAGTGTGCAGACACTGGACATCATGGTGGAAGATGTGCTGTGCCGCCAGTATTTGCTGGAGGCTTTCAACTATCAGGTGCTGCCCTTCCGGCAGCACGAGATGCAGTCACCACGTACAGCTGTGCGCTCGGACATACCCTCCCTGGTGGCTTTCGGCGGCACACCCTACACGGATAGTGACCGCTCTGTCAGCAGCAAGGTGTACCAACTGTCTGAGCCAGGTGCCCGCCACTTCCGAGAGCTCACTGAGATGGAGGTGGGCTGCAGCCACACGTGTGTGGCCGTGCTAGACAACTTTGTGTATGTGGCAGGTGGTCAGCACCTGCAGTATCGCAGCGGTGAGGGTGCAGTGGACGCCTGCTATCGCTATGACCCGCACCTGAACCGGTGGCTGTGCTTGCAGGCTATGCAGGAAAGCCGCATCCAGTTCCAGCTGAATGTGCTGTGTGGCATGGTGTACGCCACGGGCGGCCGCAACCGGGCAGGTAGCCTGGCGTCAGTGGAGCGCTACTGCCCACGGCGCAATGAGTGGGGCTACGCATGCTCGCTGAAGCGCCGCACCTGGGGCCACGCGGGTGCTGCAGCGGGGGGCCGCCTGTACATCTCAGGCGGCTACGGCATCTCAGTGGAGGACAAGAAGGCGCTGCACTGCTATGACCCAACAGCCGACCAGTGGGAGTTCAAGGCACCCATGAGCGAGCCCCGAGTGCTCCATGCCATGGTGGGAGCAGGTGGCCGCATCTATGCCCTGGGCGGCCGCATGGACCATGTAGACCGCTGCTTTGACGTGCTAGCTGTGGAGTACTATGTGCCTGAGACAGACCAGTGGACCAGTGTGAGCCCCATGCGGGCTGGCCAGTCGGAGGCTGGCTGTTGCCTGCTGGATCAGAAGATTTACATTGTGGGTGGCTACAATTGGCGACTCAACAACGTGACAGGCATTGTGCAGGTGTACAACACCGAGACGGACGAGTGGGAGCGAGACCTGCACTTCCCTGAGTCCTTTGCAGGCATTGCCTGTGCCCCTGTGCTGCTGCCCCGGGCTGGAGCCCACAGGTAGCTCCTGGAACTCCCAGCTGGCCACGTTGTCTCCCAAGAGGCTAGGCGAGCACATGTCCTGGCTGAAAACCCTGGAACTCCCTAGGCTGGCTTCCAGGGGTCTCTTCTCTCTTCTCAAAGCGGATGCAGAGGGAGCCCATCAGCAAGCATGGCAAGAGGGTATTTTCACCTGCCTCATGCCCTGGCTTGCAAGAGGGAATCTGGGTCCTCTTTGAGATGTTGTATATGGCTTTGTCTTGCTTTTCTCTCCTTCGCCAGCCCATGGTCTCATATTTTAAGAAGCAAGTTCATGATCCTGATCCCCCTCAGTTTGTGTGAGTGTGTGGACTCTAAATTCACCCAAACCTCTAGAAGC